CTTCCGTCTGAGCACTGATCGCCAAGAAGGGCGGAGAGGAACACGGAGTATACTGCTACCAGTACATGCACCCTATCCCCCAGTGCTTCAAAGACCTTCACCAAGTTGTTCGACAACAGTCTTTTCCCCTGAACAGGGAAAAACAACGAAACCAAGCCCATTCTGAAAGTGCTTGAAGCCCTGCGGACACAGGGCTCAGTGAAGGTCATGAATGTGAAAGTTATCAGTAACTCAAAACTGGAGCCCCCTGTTCCCAGTTGGGGAAGGACATTTACCAACATGACTGTCTCAGCCACGAGTCCACGACTACTCCGGTAGCCAGGGGAACTAAGGAAAACGTGGTCGCAGACGTTACAGAGGCAATCCCAATGCCTTCACAGCTACACCAACCCCAAACAAACGAACGAAATCTCCCTATAAGCAATGGAAAATGGGGCATGGGCTGGAGGAAAGGAACTGTCTAGTACAATCCGACTCTTCTCCGGAACTCGCAAGAAAACTCCCAAATGAGAAGCAGAAATAGGGACAACCCCCACTCGTGGAAGCTCGCAGTCCTAAGCTGAGTAGGCTACAGGAATGGCAGATTCTCAAGCCTGTTACCATATCGGAAGAAGTGGAAGCGGGCAAAAGAACACAAGCTGCGAACACGGGTCAGGATTCCGGCAATAGCAATGTTAAGACATTGCAGTCTGATAACAAAGACAAATTGATAAGGAGGATTGTTCCTCTTATCCGCGTGTCCACTCTTGCAGATGTCCTCTACCTTACTGTTGATGCTGACCAAGGAAAGAAAGTGTTACCGATCCTTCCATCAGAGGAAGTTGGTACACCCTCAGACCTGGTCATGCTAGACAAAGCAAGGAAACTGTTATTGGACAAATGCCTGGTGAAAATGATGAAAGGATACAAGCTAGAATGCCGCACACTGCTCGGAGCTGGAGTGAGTCGCGTTGCTCTGTAACCTAGCGGATAGGGGGCGTGAGGCCTGGATGAGTTTGTCAGAGAATAAGTCAGTTTTGGTGAGCTTTGTTATGATCTGCTGGAATTCCCTTAGATAGTTGAGTGTTCGGAGAATTGCGGGTGGATTTCAGGAGGTGTTTAGCGATCGTTAAAAAGGATTCGTAGTTTTTCTCATCATCTATATTCGTAGTTTTCTCGTCATCTATCCCGATTTTCAGCAGTTTGTTTATGATCTTGGAGGATACTCTCAAGCCGAAACCGGTGTGAGGAAACCCGGGGAGGGGTCACCTACCGCTCGCTGAAGCCAAGGGCAACGGCGCCTGTCACTCGCCGCGCTCGCTTCAGAGGTCCTCAGCGGTCGGTAGGGAGTGATGTTCAGATCGCCTGTCACTTCTCACTTAAGGTTGGCTTTTATGTTCCCCCACTGCACACTTAAATAATACGAAAAAGCAAAACAAAGAAAACAAAATGTACAAATCTGATATGAA